TCCCTTTTCCTTGGGTTGGAATGTGCAACCTCGTGTCATTGGGAGACGCTGTTCTTGGAATAACAAATCTGGGTATGCCCTGTTGAAATCCAGAGAGGGTTCCAAATGTAGCCATTATAAAGAGGGGACCTCCAACTGAGATTCTTCCAGTTCACGTAGGGAGGTGTGGGGGGGATAAAAAGAGGTATCAGTATTCAGTGCATGTATTGAGTCTACAATCCACAACATTTTCAGCTGACAGGATCAGAAACTAATCTCAACACTCTGGAGAATCCCAGGACGAAGAATGCTGGTCCGGAGTTATGTCAGTGGTGCGACTCAAGAGCACATACACAACTGTAATAAACTACAGTAGCACCGAGTTCAGATGTTGCTTTGCTGAATTCCCAGCCAATCTCCATTGTCTTTAAGGTCACCTACTTGCAGGATCATCACCTATCTGTGAGAGTTTCTGCCCATCCCACCAGATCCAAAGGTTTAAATATATTGTAGGCACCAATATTAAACAACATCATCTTCTGGGATCTTCTCTGTCATGGTGCCTTCCCTTCCTCCTGCTAGCTTTGAAGACTTGGCTTTTCTGTGTGATGCGGAGCAGGAAGTTAGGGGAATCTAATGTAGATGTGATTGAGTTTGGTTACTATTCTTCTTTTAATTCTGTTGGGTGGGTTTTCTTGGTTTCTTTTGTTGTTGCTGCTGATTTGTAGAAATTGTATTACATTATTCTTGTTCATGGTCATGAGCTGCCTAGAATTCTTATGTAAGATGGGCAGTCATGCTAACATTTCTAAACAAATAAATAAATCTTGGTAGGTACTTGAGGCAAATACCTTCTGTACAGTGACTCTTCTATTTCAGAAACTTTTCCCAAACAATTTGCAGTTATGTTCCTTGTGTGCAAATTTGTTTTGAATAGCAGGAACGGGCATATTTTATTTGCTGTATTGCTTAATAGATGCAGCTCTAGAAGATGTTATAAGTACATACATGCTAAGTTACATGTTACATGAATGCAAGGGCTGGGTCAATAATATATTTGGTATAGAATAATGTTCAACAATAATAAGTGAGCAGCTGAAAATATTGTGAGATCTTTGGATTTAAACTGATCCACTAATTCCCACAACACTGTCATATCACCTACTAAGACTGTCTTACTATTATTCTTCTCTTCCTTCCTAGTACCTATCTCTTCTCGCTTATGACTCTAACCATGATGCTTGTATCTTTACAATTTATATTGTTTTATTTGTTTCCTAGTATGATTTGATTGCTTATTAGTAACTTATGACTATCAAGTGTTGTATTTTACTTTTCTTGATTAATGTATTCTATTTTATTTTTCTTTATGTATACTGAGAGCATATGCACCAAAGACAAATTCCTTGTGTGTCCAATCACACTTGGACAATAAAGAATTCTGTTTTATTCTATTCTATTCTATTCTATTCTATCCTATCCTATCCTATCCTACCCTATCCTATCAAATCTTGGCTCATAACACACCAGGTTTAACTGGCTGAAAAGAACAAAGTGTGAATAACTGATGTGGCAATATCAGGCAATAGTAGCAAAGAGGACAAAGAATTAGGGAAGATCACAAAAGTATCAAATTCTGAAAATCAAAATTGAAAGATTATGGCATAAACCAGGCATGGTAGTCCCAGCGTTTATCGGCACACTGCGTGCTATACCAAAAAAAAAAAAAATCCTGGATGGCACTTAGAAAATATGTGCATTGACAACATTTCCATCTGTCAATTACCAAAGTCCACACGACTTGGATCTGCACATATACCCTGCCGATACATCAAGGCATCCTAGTTTCTTGGGAAGAACTTGATGCAAATAAATGCAAAACCAATTAAAGAATTGGCAGCTGTGATTTCATATTTGTATCTAAATAATAATAATGATGATGATGATGATGTTGATGATGATGATGATGATGATGCAAATCCAGTCTAAACATCTGACTGATTGTGTGACCAACTATAATAACCCATTGTAATTTGTTCACTACTTTGAGTAAACCTGGTTCAAAACAGTCCTTTATACATTTAAATGAAAACTGCAAACAATTCAAAATTACGCTGGTGTAGCGCATAGAAAGTTACATCTTAATCATAACCTTCTCTTCATTATTGACTTGATCATAACCTTGAGTTATTTGTAAAAATAATATAGGCGGGATACAAATAAAATTAATTAATTAAATAAATAAAATAACAACAACATTAAATATTTCCTTTGCCTGTAGTGTTTAGGGTGATCTTTGGTGAACCGTTCTATGTATGGGTTAGCACAACACACTTCAATTAGTTACTGAATTAACCAATGTTCTGCTTTTCACAAGCCATGAAAAGATAAACTAAGCAAATGGGCTGCATATGTACATTAAGCCACAATAAACAAACCAAAGAACAACCTAATAAAAGTTGTGTGAGTGTAGCTGCTGGGTCTTTCACAAGTGAAGTGGGTTGTGAATTCAGCTTTTGTATGCCTTTCCCCCCCTCCCCAATCTATTTTAAAGGGCCGTTGTCTGTATAAAGGAGACAATTTGCATACATGTAGGGGAAAATATGTGAAACAGCACAGGCAGTGGGAAAAAAGAAAAGAACTGCAAAAATAGCAACCTGTAACTAATAATATTCTTTAAAGCAAGAGTGTGTTTACAGCCAGGTCCTCCACTTATAACTTCAATGCCTATTTCTGAAGGTTCTGGATAATGATGATCAGTGTGCTCCAGTTCCATTTTTTTTGATTGCCCAATACTGTTAACTTTACACTGCTGCAGTGTAGGTTTATGGATAATTTTTCTGGAATAAATCACTAGTGTACAGTTTGTGAACGTTTTGCTGGTGTTCCTTCCAGTTGCTTTTGACTCTTGCTGATCCCGTGAACAATGGTTCTCCAAGTTTTGTCCATCAATAATTGTTTCTTGAGATCCTTTTTAGATTCCCCATGTTGTTGTCAAGGATCCCATCTAATCTTGTCTTAGGTTTGTTTCTTTTTCAATTACTCTTGATTTTTCAGAGTCTCCTTCCCAACTTTTGCTGTTACATTTTGTGTCCACAGTCCCTAAGCCTTAGTTTCATTCATAGTGCTTTCAGCGAGGAGTCTAGTTTTACTTTAAAAACACTTTAAATTTTAAATTTTATTTTTACTTTAAATTTTTAAGAAGATGTTGGGTATCCATTTGTCAGAAGTGGTGTAGGGTTTCCTGCCTAAGCAGGGGGCTGGACTAGAAGACCTTCAAGGTCCCTTTCTAACTCTGTTATTCTATAGTTCGTTTAGTAGTTAAGAACGTCTTCTGTTTGTAGTCCAAGATAAAACCTCAGAAAGTTTTGGAGTTTTCTCCAAAAAACTGTTAATGATTCCTTCCCTAATACCATACAGGTTGCCCCGCAGATATTAACCATGGTGAATGAAAAGAACTTATTTCAGAATAAGCATGTAAGGTATTTTCCTCAATAGTGTTATCTTTCCAATTTTCGATAGATTTTAAGCTGAGCTCTGTGGAGCTGAAGAGGTAAAAGATCTGACTGACTCATATATTATTTGATTGCTGTTTGTATAAGGGGGCAAGAAATAAGTACCTTGATCCACATATTAAACGTATGGCCCAGTGGGAGGACCATATTAAACCAACACACCTCATGTGTGGCCAGAATCTGAAAACAATATTTAATACAGCATAATTTCTGACTAAAATGGTCCGACTGAGATTGGCATATGTGGGTCTGATTGGAGTAGATTGCAGGGGTGATACAGAAATATAATTTAGTCATTTTATTCTATTTTACATATTTATGTATTAAATTACTGTAGTTTATCCTATAACTATTGTATTTTATTCTACTCTCATTTTAAATTGTTTGTTTAGAATTTTATTGGTGATTTGCTCAGCCATCAGCCTGGGAGAATATATAAGTGGATGTAGATTTCCATTGGAGAAAATTGGAAATAGTTACCTCTGCATCACACTATTGGTCTTATAGAGTGATACAGAAAACACAAGGGATGGATTATCCCTGTTTACTTTGGCTCCTCTCTTTGCACTGGGGCCTATGGCTATACTATTGACATACACAGCAACTCATTCATCTGGATTTCTTAAGGTCCAGTTATTTGAGATAAGATGTAATCAAGCCAGAAGAAGCTAGAGGACTTCTGAAAGCAACAGGAAGAGCATAATAAACAAGACCATCTAAGGCAATGCATTAATACTATCTTCTAAGCTCCCTTAAGATGTCACTTGCAGAATACCAAACCTACCCAAACTCACGTGGATTGCAAAAAAAAATAACTTCCATTGATACAGCTCAGCTGAAATAGCATAACATGTTTCTTCAATTGGCCAGGGGATTGCTTATGTTCCTGACAATGGAGAGCTGGGCAACTAGACCAGAGATCAAATTTGGTAAAAGGCAGTTTTGTATGTTCAATGTGAAGTATTTGGGCATTTCCATGGAGAAATCTAAGGGAAGAACATAAAAGCAATAACCTGAGAATCAGATGAAAACCTCACTTTGGTTTACAAAGAAGTAGATTTTTGGAGCTGGGAGCCCAATTCCAGTTTTGGGAACATATGATGGATGCACTCCTAGAACGGTGGCTAGGGAAGACTTCCTTGGTTATAAAATGATTGGCCAAGTGAGTATGGACAATCACAAAATACACCAATTCCTCTGCCGAGATGATCTCAACCAATCTAGTGGGATTTAGAAACAGGGACCAGGGCATTGTTGGAAATCTGTCTTTTTGCTTTTTGGATGCCAGTTTTCTACTTAATTTCTAAATTAATATTCAAAGGACCTTCTAAAGAAGTCAACTGGAACACCAACCTGGGAGCAAAAGAAAGGATCTGAGAATAGATGGAGAACTGTTTAAAAAAATACCTAGTTTTGCATGGCTTTCAATCCCCTTTGCCAAATTTGCATATTTTGGGGTTGGCTCTACCCAAGCTTTCAACTCAGGCTCTTTTATCTACATTTCAGATTCCAACCAGTGTCAACCATGGACCAGATAAAGGAGAAAAAGCAACCTTGCCCATCCCTAGCTTCGAAGAATATCTAAGAGGATGTCTAGGCCGTTTTGGAGATGTCTCCCCTATGTGAAACTCTATTGTGCTCACACTAGTCTATGCATGATTAAAACGCCCCCATTTCCCCCGCAGTTGTTGCTCCATGTGATAAGATAGGCACTTTTGCCCGATCTCTCGTATTATGATTGAAGTGTCGGCATTCCGTTTGAGTTCCTGCAATTACAGCCCCATGTGAAATATCACCTTACCAGGTGTAACGGAGACAAGGATCTAGTGTTAAAAAATACAGAATGAGTTATCCTTTTTTTTTCCCCAGACCTTTACAAGGCAGAAAATGCTGTAGTAGCACCTCTTGGAACTCTGAAAGGTTTCCCAATGGAAGCTTCCAAATTGCCAGCCAACTTTCCAGATGCAACACCCTGGCTTTATTGCACTGAATGGGAATGTTGCCATTGAGCTAAGCTTGTTGTTCTGATAAAAATCCATATTTTTATACCGAGGACTGGCTAGAAACTGGCACTTTATCCCTTAAAATAATCCGGGGGGGATCACGAGAGTTCCTTTTACAGAGTGAAAAATACACACAGGAAGATGTTTTCTAAAAGTATTTTACCCATAAAAATATTTCCAGATATGTATACGCACTTATTGATATATAACGCATCAACTAACACATTTGTTGGGGAAGGTTTTGCTGCAAAATCAAAATCTTTCCAAATTTAAAGGTAAAGCTAGAGCTGTGAAACTTGGACTGCTGCATCTTTTTTTTAAAATAACTGTTTAGCAGCACTGATCATTATTTTTCAGAAGGCTACCCTGGTATGGCCCCAACTTAATATGAACTTTGAAAATTACCCTTGTACAAAACAGGTGATAAGGTGTGCATGGCTCTCCACATGTTGTCCAACTAAGGGTATATTGCAAAAACCTAGATAACCACTGAAGGGTATCAATGAAACAAAAGAATATCCCAACTAATTACTGCCATCTACTGGTCATCTGGGGTTTTGTAACCGAGATACCGTAGCTCAGTGTTTCTCAACCTTGGCAACTTGAAGATGTCCGGACTTCAACTCCCAGAATTCCCCAGCCAGGGAGTTGAAGTCCAGACCTCTTCAAGTTGCTAAGGTTGAGAAACACTGCCGTAGCTAACCCTACTGTAGGTAAAGGACAATTCTTAGCAGCCCAGCCAGCTTTATTAAGGATGAAGAATATCTATCATCCACTAACATTAAGAGGGTCACAGGGACTTCATTCCAATATAAAAAAACTGAACATTCTCCAGGAATCAAAAGAGAAATGTATAGAAGCTATACTCCAAGATGAACTAGCTGAAAACTTACCAATAATTATTTTGCCTGAGAGTGTAATTTCCAATTTTTCTGGATGAGTGCGGCGAGGAGGGGGGGGATGACAGGAATGCTCTTTCTCTATTTAAAATTAGTACCTTTGGAAAGATATAGTAACCTGCATTCTGGTTATGACTAATAAGAAGTTACTGATTCTTATGATACCATCTGCTGTAAGGAACAGTTGGAGAACAGCTCTTTGTACACTGAGAAAGAACAAGTCCTATTAGATCAAATACAACTTACTTTAGAGTAAATATATTCATAATAGCAAGAGAGCTAATAAAAACAATATTTGGGGTGGCTATATCTTTCAACACAATTCAAAAAGCATAATCTATCAAATAAAACTTTAGTGGTTTTTTTCCCCCTTTTCCTTTTACTCATTTACTTGGAGGGCAGGTAGGGTAACAACGGAATACCAGAGATTTTGAACCCATAGAAGGAATGAGTCTCAAGGTTCTAAAGCCATTCTTATGAAGAGATCAAAGGATGCTTTGAACAGGGTTTTCTTTCTTTCTTTCCAGAGAGGTTAATGTCCCTTAAAACAGCCAGGGTCACTTTGGATGGTGAGAGAGGCAGCATCTAAACCCAATAAACAAATTCCAACAATAAATATTATCATTAAGAAGTATGTGATGCCTTGTGACTAATGTTTTCTCTTTCTGCCCTGCTTCTTGTGGCAGTCTGTTATATTTGACTGCATCTCATGACATCACAAATTCTTAAAGTATCTCTCAAATGTATCCCCGTTGACCACTTGATCAAGGCGAACATGTAGAATAGTTGACCAGATAAAGAATACGATTATTAGATGCTGCCCCAAATGATCTTGATCTGGAGAAAAGCATCTGGAGAAAAAGGAGGACAGCTTGTAGCTTTCTGAAAGATGGACAACACATTTTTGATGGATAGAATGGTGAGGTCCATCAAGTGGAGCCAGAGGCAAAGCAATGGAACCTTATGAATCAGACTGGGATGCCCACTATATCCCAGTACATATTTTTCTTTGAGTTATTATTGCTGGATTTTAATCATGCCATTTAGCTCTAAACTGGCCATTCTTCAACATTTTCAAGATGGAGATTTTTCTTTTCTACCCTTAATCTATCATTGTTGACGTTTTTGTTTTTTTTCCTATACATTCAGAGCTGTTGCTACATCAAACCCATTTTCTAGTGAGATTACATAAAATGTGGAATATATTATGGAGTATATGGAAGCAAACTTTAAAGGAGCCTGAGTGCAGGGAATACCGTCAAAACAGCAAATCCAGTTTAAATTTTTATTTATGCATTCTGACTTCAAATTTATTCATTTATTAAATTTATATGCCACCCATTTTGCTACCAAGTGACTCTCTGCTAGATTTTCTTGTCTCTCCCAAGAAGAGCATGCAAAAGCAAATGTCTGAGGAGGAAAATCTTGTCATTTTGCTTTCTTGACCAGACTGAATTCTGATCAGTTATCTAATATACAAACCATCAAAATGAGCAAATTATCCATCCATCCACACACCCACATCCATCCATCCATCCAAATCCATCCCTAAATTGGAAATATTTGATTCAGGGCAACATCAATGCACATCCCTGTGGAACCGTGCAAAGTATCATTTCCACCATTGTAAACACAACTCGGAAAGTTGCACTGCACACAAAGCAGTTGGCATAGTTGGAGTACCGTATATACCTTAGCTAGCAAACAAAAGGTGAAGATGGCTGTCACTTTCACCACCAGCCGGGGGTGGGGGGAATCAGGAACAATTTGGAACAAGCAGTGGTTTCTTCATTCTCTGGTGGCATTGAAGAGCTGGGGGTGGAGTTCTGAACATTTTGATTGCCTGTAAATGATGATAGCCAGTAAATGAGAAATGAGTGAGAAATGAAGGCGAATAAGATAACCACGAAGAGGCTGGGAAGATTTCCTTGTGGAAATGAGGTATGGATGGGAACTCCAAGCCGTAGTAAAAGTGCAATAGTGAAGTAAGAGCAGGAGGAGAAAACAACACTGCAGGACCAGAGGCTTTGCGCGGTAGTGCTTGTTTTTTAAAAATCTTGAAATCGAGAACATAAATCAAAGACCTGGAAAGGAAGTAAGGAAGAAAGAAAGGAAAGAAGTAAGGAAGAAAGAAAGAAAGAAAGAAGGAAAGAAAGAAAGAAAGAAAGAAAGAGATGGCGATAAAGATAGGGCTGAGGTACTTTTTTAAATCTTGAAATGGAGAACATAAATCAAAGTCCTGAGAAGGGGGGAAGAAAGGGGGGAAGGAAGAAAGAGAGGGAGAGAGAGAGAGAGAGATATGGAGATAAAGATAGGGCTGAGATACTTTTTTTAATTTTGAAATGGAGAACATAAATCAAAGGCCTGGGAAGGAAAGAAGGAAGGAAGGAAGGAAGGAAGGAAGGAAGGAAGGAAGGAAGGAAGATGGAGATAAAGATAGGAGTGAGTTATTTTTTTAATCTTGAAATGAAGAACATAAATCAAAGGCCTGGGAAGGAAGGAAGGAAGGAAGGAAGGAAGGAAGGAAGGAAGGAAGGAAGATGGAGATAAAGATAGGGGTGAGATACTTTTTAAATCTTGAAATGAAGAACATAAATCAAAGGCCTGGGAAGGAAGGAAGGCAGGAAGGAAGATGGAGATAAAGATAGGGGTGAGATACTTTTTAAATCTTGAAATGAAGAACATAAATCAAAGGCCTGGGAAGGAAGGAAGGAAGGAAGGAAGGAAGGAAGGAAGGAAGGAAGGAAGGAAGGAAGGAAG